AGGTAGGACTAAACTAGACATTAAAGAAAATGGAAATGTAGAACAATCCCTCTTCTCAGCAAATCTGTTTTTGTTTTGGAAAACTAAATTTCCATTTTAAAATGTTATACATGTTAAAGTGTAGTATGTTTACTGTTACTTTAAAATGAGTAAGTATAAATTTCTCAGTACTAATTTTCATTGAATAAACATCAGCAGATATAACCCACATAAACAAATGCTCTTGGGGTACTCAATAAGATTTAAGAGTGTAACAGGGTCCTAAGATCACAAAGTTTGAGAACTGCTGTGGTTTACATGCTTCCAAAAATCTTCTAAGTAAATTCCCTACCAACACATCAAAGATGGAGAAGGGGAACCAAAATAAATAAAAGGCTTCTTAGATTATTCTGATCCCTATAATATGTGCGCCAACCTCTCTCTGGTGACCTACTACCCTACCCCTTGTGAAAAGCCTAAGAACATCCCCTTCCTCACACTTGAAATCACCCATCCTTGGTAGAAGGAAAAAAAAAAGCTACTGATTCTCAATAAACTGGTTTCTCTTTAATGATTTAAAGAACAGTTTAACAGACTAACATAAAGGTTTAAGATGATTCTCTCTCATCATTGTTTCTCTTTCCTTTCCTCTCTGAAATCAAAAATATATATACATCTTTCAAAAAGATACAGTTTCGCCCTAGCTGGTTTGGCTCAGTGGATAGAGCATCAGCCTGCAGACTGAAGGGTCCCGGGTTCAATTTCGATCAAGGGCACATGCCTGGGTTGCCGGCTCGATCCCCAATAGGGGGTGTGCAGGAGGCAGCCAATCAATGATTCTCTCTCATCACTGATATTTCTATCTCTCTTGCCCCTCTCCCTTGCTCTCTGAAATCAACAAAGATACGTTAAAAAAAAAAAAAAAGATATAGTTCCTTCACATTTACCACCTGGACATGTAGGGCAAAGGCAGAATTAACTCTCTGGTAAACAGCATCATTTTTGTTATAACACGGTTTGGGAGTACCAACATGGCATCCCCACTGCTACCCATTCAGCTATAAAAAGAAGCACTCCCAAAATGACAGAAGCCAACTTTGAAAAAGAAGTTATTCCTGGAGAAGAAATAAGATCCATATGGATATACAAAAGGCTTCATCTGTATCTATACCTATAAATAAATGTGTGCACACATATAATGTATGCATACATATACACATGCATATACATTTTATGGGGGTGTGAGGTGAGGAGAAGGGAGGGACTAAACTTTATGGCAAAATGAATGGTGGGTATAAGAAAGTTCATTAGATCGTTTTGCAAATGTTTCCATAATATTTCCATAACAAAGTCTATGCCTAGACCTACATTAGATGTGAGTAAATATCAACAAAAGTAAATCTACAGATATTATGTCAGCCATCACATAAGAAATAACAGGTTATATGAAATAAACCTGTAACACAAAACGGAATCAAACAACTGCAGCACTGATTTAAGGGCACCAAAACAATAGCAATACAGTGAAAAATAATTGTGTCGATTTTTTAAATTGCAACATATTGACCTTTCATTCAAATATTATGGGATGTTAGTAGACAATATATTAAGAGATCTTTTTAGAATAAAGACTAGAAAAGTCCCCCAGACTATCCTCAATGAAAAAGGCAAACACAGAGAGCATTTACTGTGAAAAGACAGAACTTGAACCTTCATATACAAAAAATAATAGATTACAGGTGGTCAGAAAGTAATCTTTACATTTGAGACCTAAATACATGCACATATACAAGTGCATTTGGTATCATAAGCCATTATATTGGAACATGTCAATATTTCCTCAGTTTTATGAAAACCATTATTGTAATAAACTAAATGCAGTATGTTCATGTTAACTCTTGGAGTACCTACTATAAATTGACGTCTAAACTAAGCACTGGGGAAATATTCATGTGTTTATTCTACAAAAATCTGTTGAACAACAATCTCATATCAGGCATTGGGAAAAT